GTTTAGACATGCTGACTATTTGATATCTGAAGGGAAAAAAACTTTTTCTGTGTAACATACCCCTCTCACAAGGGTGGCCTCTATTATTGGTAGTTATTATGTAAACTCTCATATTTAAATGAGAATGAGATTGTGAATAAACACTCCATCTCCCTTAATTTACAAGAGACTTCCTGCTGCTGCTTCACTGTTTTTAACAGATTGACAACTCCCTTTCCTTTGCATTTTCTCTACCTCTCCCAAACATTCATTAGCTATTCAAGCACTGGTCATTAACAATCAATGATACAAAAGTGAATGTGTCATTGGTTAGAAAAGGTTCCATGGGTACATGTGATATCTTTTATTAGACCAACTAAATATTAAGAAAACTGTTCTTTGCAAGCTTTCAGATACAAACACCCTTCTTCATGCAGAGGAAGAGTCTACAATAGACTCTACTGTAGACTTTCCCTCTGCCTGATGAAGGCTGTTGGTACCCAAAAACTTGCATAGAACAATTTTTCCAACTGTTTAGTTTATCTAATAAAAGACATCACATGTACCCAAAGAACCTTGTCTGCCTATGTCCTTAGACCAACACAGCTACAACCAATACCGCCATGTCATTGGTTACAAAATAATACTTACTTTTAGTACTTAGAAGTTCTGAAACAAAGTAAACTACCCCTGGAAATTACTGTGTGCATAATAAAACCCCATATTAACATTACCTATTTGGAAGAGTAACTTTTACACACAATTTTACAAACAAAACACTATTCCCTGTAAAAAGAAAATAGGAAGGAACAAGGAGGGCCGGACCCTCCCGGGTCCAGGTCCAATATGCAAATCAAAGACAGACAAATCACCATCAAACCAAAAGCACCATGCCATTACATTCTTAACATCACACTGTGACAGATACCTTTGCAGTATTACACATCCTGCCTAACATGCTGTTTTGCAGTCGGGACACCCAGCCACATGGTCATACAGACCAAAGCCCTCTATAAACAAATGATTCCTATCCTTCTCTATCCAATAGTACATGTAACAAAACCTTCAACTACCCACACAAAGAAAAACAAAGAAGCAAAAAGCAGCCTGGTGAGGGCCCAGGGCGCGGTACGAGCTTGGAGTCAGTCTGCCACTGAGCCTTCCTGGTCGCCCAGACTGGTCATTACATCACAGCGTGTATTGAAGATGAACGTTGTACGCCCTCCATATGGCACAGTGCCCCCTCAAGGGCCCAGCATGCCTTAAAGGTGAGCACTGCCCACCGGAGCACAGCCTGCTCAAACTCCGCAAGAGGCATGCCCACACCAGAAGGCTGAAAAGCCGCAGAGTATCGTGTGAGCCGGTCCCAGCAGCATTTGAGGACGGCCATCTTGGCCTGACCCAGAAGAAAGTTGGCCAGGCAAACAGTGCCCTGCTCAGCTGCCCGATACAGGTAGGAGCACACATAGGTGTTCTCTGAGAGGCTTCTGCCCAGTGCCCACAGAGCCGGCTCAAGGGTGACACAGAGTAGCCGCAGGTGGGGACAGTCAAGGAAGGCGTGAAAGAGGCTCTCCTCAACACCCCTGGAGCAGAAGGGCAGGCCATCGAGGCGGCTGTGTCAAAGTGGGACACAAACGTGCCAGTGGCCACACTCTCTGCCAAGCCACGCAGGCATTTCCTGCGGAACCAGAGGCTCTCGCACAGCACCTCGTCACTGCTGGCAGCCAACAGGGTGGCCTCAAGCTCTGCCACATCTTCCACCAGCTCCTGGATACGACAGCACAGTTAATTTGTGGCCAGCTGGGTGTACTGCTGGCAAAAAGCCCGGATCTGCCTTGCCCACATCCCAGTATAGCTTCCAGGAGGAGTAGCTCAGTCTTGCGGCCTCCCAGCCCTGCCAAAAGTGGGTGAAGCAATCCTGGAAGTAGGAGTGTTGGAACAGGCTGATGCTGAAGCACCAATAAGGCGCTTGCGCACAGGTTCAGTTCGCAGCAAGCCAGGCCGTGATCTGACAGGCTGGAGGGAACGATGTGGCCACTGCACAGGAGTGGCAGATGGTGCGTGGTGATGCAAAGGCAGTTAAGGCGGGCCATGGTGAGACCACCAGCGCTCATCCTGGCCCAGGTTTAGTGGTGCACATTGGATGCAGAGCTCGCCAGATGTCGATGAGGTCCATAGTCTCCAGGGCAGATTGCAGCTTGCAGGCTGAGGGCACTGGGCCGCTAGGTGGGAAGAGCTATCACACTGGAAACGCATGGTTTCTCCCAAGGAAAAATAAACCACAAACCTCCGCCCATCGAGCTTGAGGTTCAAGGAGTGAGCAAGAGACTGGGGGCCCTCCCTGAGGAGCGTGAAGACCTGCCTTTGAAAGGACAGGACATGCTTCAACTTCAGATCCTTGCTTCCTATCTTCAGTTGGTGAAAGGGGCTCATAGGAACCCCATGGGGCTCGAGACACTTGGCCAGCTCCTGGTTGGACAGGTGTTGGGGCATGTTGGAAATCACCACCTTTATTGCCTGTGTGTCTAGGGGTGTGACAACATAGTGTATGCCTGCAAAGTCCAGGCCCTCTGCGCACACCCTGTTGACCAGTGTGGGAGTGCTCAGGTAAATCACTGGGACCGTGTTAATACGAGCCACATAATGTACGTTACACCATCCCAGGAGGTCAACTAGAGCACCTGTGCAGACCTCCACCCCAACATGGGGAGGGGTATGAACCCTCAAGCCATGGTTAAGGGGGAGGTCTTGAGATGCATCTCCATGCCAGCCGCTGGGTGTAGGAGCGGCCATTGCTGATAGAACAGGGTTAATCCCAAAAGTTAAAACTAAGGGAATAAAAGAAAAGGTATATATAAACTCCGAAGGTAAGTGTCTGGGAATGCGGCCATCAAAAGCAAAAAGGGAGGGGGGTGAGTGCCCAGAGGGGAGAAGGGATGGGTAAAAAAGGGAGGAGCGCAAGGGAGTTAGGGGGAAAAAAAAACTAAAAAGAAAAAAAGAAAAGGGAATAATTAGTACCCCTCGAAAAGCAAAAGTTAAAATAAGATAACTCCCCACGGCAGACAGGCAAAAAAGAAAGAAAGAGAAACAGTAAGACAGAAGCTGTGAAGTAGACAAACACAACTCACAGATGGAGAAACGGGAACTAGAATGGAGAGGGGACAGAGAAAAAGGGGGGAAAAATGCAAAAATGCAAAAAAAAATCAGAAAGTGAAGTAGACAAAAACAAGAGACCTTTAGACAGGAGATAGGAAGCCGTGGAGTCTTACACTCAGGATCTCCCCACGCAGCTCCAAGCAAGTCCAGTCTGAGGCATCCAAAGTGGAAGGAAGAAAGGAAGAAATCAGTCAACCCTGGTTAAACTTTGAATGTGGATGTGATGTGAGCTCTTGTAGTTGACCAGACCAGACATAGTTTATATACTTCTAGAAAGAGCCTGAACCTGCCACATCTGACCAACTTCACTCCGGAAAATTTCCATAACTTTGCTGTTTGCCACCTTGGTTTACTGCCTTTTTTGTCACTTTAGTATAGAGAAAACCTCTTATCCATAATACTATAACTTTCATGAAGTATAGACCTCTCCTGATAAATTATGGGGTTTTTACTCCTTTTCACGTCAAATTCAATGCCTAATATTGTTGAGGCTTGCTTTTTAATCATTATTATTATGTCTATTTTTTTTAAGGTTTTTTTTGTTTTTGAAGATTCAGTTATATCAGGAAGGACTCTCTGAGCTGCCACAGAAAACCTCCCACTCCATATGCCAGTGATAAACAGTATGCAAAGCTGAATAGAATAGAATTCTTAAAATCATAGTCATAGAGAATTAAGGTGGAAATGATCTCCATAGGTTACACAGTCCAACCCCCTATCTGAGGCAGGATCATCCCTGTCCAAACCATACTGTATAAATCCATTGTCTAACATCTTAGAAAAACAACATGGTCAACCCTGATGCAACACCGAGCATAACACTCTAACCTGTCACAGGTAAAGCAAGGGGACCACAGCAGCCAATGTCCTGCTGCAATAAAAGTTGTTAATATACTTTCAAGTGATACCGGGAAGAGGGCCAAACCCCCAGCTACAGAGGAAGACAGAATCCCCACAGTCCGTACCAATCTGGGTAAAATTATTTTCTGATCTCAAATATGGTGATCTGTTCATCTTCAGTGTCCCTGTGTCTCCTCTGTAATTTTTTTGGACAGTGAGGACTGATTTTACATAGTGCCATTGGATGGCTTCGGAAAGAACTTCATGGTTGAAAATGGAGTAAGAAAACACTGCTAAGTCTAATTCCCCGCATAATAATGTATTCTACAACCAGCTGCCAGCATAAGTGTCCAAAAGATGCTTTCTGATATTTCCTGGTAGTCTTAGTACTTGGAAAGGTATTTTGTGGTTCTATTTCAGGCATTCTAGATGATTTGCCCTCTCCTCCCCATCCCAATTTGAGTCATCTGTTAATCCTTGAAAGTTAATTCAATGCTGTCCATGATCAAAATAAGATTCATTTGAGGCTAATTTTAATCCATTTGGGAACATCATCTGTTTTTTTTTAACTTTCTTGTATTTTTCCATTATGAGTCCATTTAAACCTCCCACATTCTGCCAATCAGAATGCCAAAAGCATTCATTTGTGTATCTAGCTAGATTATTTATCATTTGAAAAACATCTGGTGAGCTACCTTGTCACCAGCAATCCTTGGTTGCTTTCTTTGAGAGAATGAACAATTCTGCATATGATAGAACAACAGAAAGCTGTTTCTACTGATGTGTTCTGTTTTTTATGCATCCATACCCTCCCCCTCAACACACACTACTCCACATGGTATTCATCTTTCTTTCCTTTCTTGCTGCTACCTACTATCTTTTGATGTCAGTTGTTTTAATAAAGCAAACAATGTTGAGATGACCTTCCTTTATCTTGCATGTGTCATGTTTTGCTGAAAGTGTTGTAGTTTGGTTATTTATTTATATAAGCAGTAGATTTATGCTATATTTTATTGTTTTTACAGTTCCCTGCAGTCAACCATCCACAATCTTTGGAAAGAAGATACTTAGGAATTTTAAGTAGTGTTTTGCTTGACCTTATGAAGGTAGGAAAAACTGCTTTCTTCTTAGTGTTGACTGTACAGGGGAGCTAGCACTGACCTCTCTGTGTTTACATAAACTCATATATTCAGTTTTAAACTATTCTTATGATTATATTTTGAGAAGTTCTGTTGTTTGCAGCATCACTTTGATGTTTCCTAGGGGGAAAACCTAGGAGTAAAAAAAGTGCCTTTTGATGTTGCCAGGAGATTCTGTTCCCATTTGGCAGACTTAAAGCTGCTGAAAATCTTTCTCTTTCTGCCATGTTTTGCAATGTTTTTGTCAACATGTAATAAAATAAAATGGCCAGAAGTCCTGGATTTTCTGGGACAATCCTGAATTTCAGACCCATGCCCCTTGGTGAAAAAGAACTTTAATCGTGACTATGAAATATTTGTGCTGGATTAATGCCACATGGCTTTCTGCTGCATCTGCTGAGAGGATACAGCATCATGCTATCTGATACCATGGGAACATAGCCATACTGCTTTTGGGCAGGGAGGTAGCCTGTACCTCTTTGATCAGAAGTAGTATAGTCCCATTCACAAAAGACTGCTCTCATGCCTGCTAAACTGCCTCTCAGAACCATGCAAATACGGTTATGCTGTATCCTACTCAGGAGCTTCTCTTAATGCACAGAATCAAGCTGTTGTCTGTAGTTCCAGTGCCCCATTTGTTCCA